TTGCAAGACAAAAAGCATACCAGCAGAACTTAAGAAAACTAAGACAAGGAATAACACAGAGTGAACGGGATTCACCACGGTAATTACCATCAAAGCAGCTATTATGCTTATGCCAGCAAAAATGTAAAATAAGTAATTGGGCATGTTGTTTTGTTTATCTGATTTTTAGAGGAAAATAAAATCGTAACGAGAACCTTCCCAAAAGAATTAAGACAATTTGTATTTTTCCGTAAATTTCTTAGCAGATTCTTCATCTTTACTAGAAATGAAACCTTTGTTTGCTCTTTGCCAAAGACCACCATTCAAGATATCATTCTTACTTATGTTGTAGTTCTTTGTTGTTAAAAAGTCACGGTTAAACATAGTAGGAATAGTGCTTCCACCACTCTGTATTTCTAAAAAAAAGTAACTACTAAGAAGATTGCTCTCTTTTTTTAAATAAGTCATTTTTCAATAAGCACATAAATTTTCACTTTTATCGACGAGCTGCTTACGTACGAGCAAATTGCTCGAACGTAAGTAGCTTACTTACATAATTATTTTGTTGATGTTTTCATCATAGCAGATTCCAAAATACCTAATCCAGGAAGAACTACCAGAAAGAAAAGAAAGTAGATAACAGTAGCTACTTGACCTATTTCTATGTAAGGAGTTTCAACAACTTTTTGCCCGATCCAACCAAGTATGATAAAATCAGCAACAAGAAACCAAAAGGCCTTTCTATATAAGGGTCTAAATGCAGAACTACGCACTTCAGACTGGTTTATAAATGGTATCAAAAAAAGCACTACAATAGCACCAAACATTGCAAGAACTCCACCAAGTTTATCAGGGATAGACCTTAATATAGCGTAAAAAGGTAAGAAATACCACTCAGGCACTATATGAGATGGAGTTACCATAGGATTCGCTGGTATGTAGTTATCAGGGTGTCCTAAAGTATTTGGAAAATAAAAAACAAAAACAGAAAAGAATATGATAAACACAATAACACCAAAAAGGTCCTTAAAATAAAAATACGGGTAAAAAGGGTATTTTATCTACAGAACTATCAATACCTACCGGGTTATTAGAACCATCTCTATGAAGTAATGCTA